AACATAACAAAATTGAAAAAAGTGAAGGGGGTCTGAATACTTTCCGAATGCACTGTAAGTAGTATTGTGTACTTAACTCAAACCATTGTACAGTGGTACCTCGGGATACGAACGCCTCTACTAACGAACATTTCGGGTTACAACCAACTCGGGATACGTCCAGAGTCACAGAACGGATTAAGTTCGTATCCCAAGGTACCACTGTATATCTAACTTGAATCACTGTGTATTTAACTCGAATTTTGCTACATAGGCTCCATTCTTAGTTATGGGTTGTCCTTAAACCAGGAGTTCTTAACCCAGGGACTACCTGTAATGCAAAGCCCCATGACAGGGCAACTTTGGGCAGATTGCTGCAAAACTGTTTGGTTGGCAGGGGGTGCACATTCTGTTTTTCCTTTCAGTTGATTGTTTTTGGTGCCTTGAATCATTATTGACTCTTTTTGACTGCATGGACAAGTCCATGCAATTTTCTTAGCAACATTTCTGCCACTGCCTTCTTCTTAAGAGAGAGTGACTGGCTTTGTGCCTAAAACAGAACTAGAACTCCCAGTCTCCTGGTTTCTAGCCTGGTACTTTAACTACTAGACCAAACTGGCTCTCGGATCTTGTTTTACGTGATGAGTTTCATGAGTTTTATGGGGATGAAGGAATGTTGGTTTTTTAAAAAGGCTGATATGTATTTTAATTTTGTAAACCACCTTAAGTCTTTGTGATGGAGTGGTATACAAATCTGTGCCATAAATAAATAAATCAGGACTCCTTCCTCAAGGCCAAATCTGTTTAAGGTGCAACGGTAACAGTTTTTGCCCCTGTGACACCCTTCAGAAGCATTGTGATTGCACTCAATGCCACTGTGCCCACCCAACTCTAGCAATTACATTCCTAACACATCTAAAGGCAACCAAGTTCTGGAAAAGTGAAGTTCATCCTTGCCACCATAGGAGAGGGACAAAACAGAGGATGTGACATCTATAATGAAACAATGATGTGGTGGGGCTGCTTAATTCTTCCCATACCTGCCAAGTGTATCCTATAAATGCACCCACTTTGAAAATCTTCCAATTGTATATTGTATATAATGTTTTGATGCATGTATGTTAATTAACTCTTTTCACTTGATTTTTTAAAATAGGAAACAGCATTCAAATGCTAATAAATTGATAAATAAATTATGGAATGAGAATTCCTCCTTATCAGTGCTGCCCTGACCCACTTCATACTGTAAGATTTGTCTTGCCAAAGGGAAAAAAAAGACTAGCCACTATTTTGTGAATCCTTGCTTTATTCCAGCCAGGTGAAGTTTTAATTGCAAAGCATATTCCACACTCTTTATATACTACACTTTACCTTCCATGCAGACTTTTAAACAATCTGCCATACTGGCTTCTGCATGCTGCAAAATGCAACGAGAATACCACCTGCATGCAAAGAGAATGTCAATTAATTATAAAGCTCTCAGCATGGTTAAAAGAATAACACAGGTCCAGGAATGTGGAACTTCTCTTTCAGATGTTACTAAACTATGATTTCCAGTATCCTCCTTAATATTATGGGAAATGGTAAGGGGATACTGAGAGCTGTCCTTCAGCAACATCTGCAGAACTATCAGTTTCTCATCTTTGATCGATATTCCTTCTCAAATGTCTGAATAGCTCTCTTTATTATTGTCTATGTCCTATTGCACTTTACATTCCTACGTCAACCAAAGAAATTGCCAACAGGCCAAGGTTTCTTAAAGTGTAGGGACAGCAATTCCTGACCACTCTCAAGGTTTTTACTTCCTCTTCAGACAAACTGATTTAGAGATGTATCCTACTGTAGAAACAAGTAACAAATGGATGGGGATGCAGGTAATGAGAAATGCTAAACAGGCAGGACATTCTCATTAACAGAGCAATAGACAATAATGTGAAAATGACTAGTTTACATTACCTTAGCATGGAGCTGCCATTGCAACCTCTGACCTATGTGTAAACTTCCTCAGAACTAAAGCTTTGGAAATAAAGAATCTTACTTAGTTATTGAGGCATTCAGGCTGGCCACAAATCCAATAACTGAACTTCCTTTGGTCACCGTGTCTTTGTTGACATCAATCCCGACCACCATTAGGGACTTCAGCTGTCAAATAAATAACAACTGAATCAGAGGATGAAACAAGACCTGTTGTTGCTATGGAGCTACAGCACTATCAGTGTCCCAGGCCCAGCAACAAGGCAAGGACTGCCTCATGGATTATGCAATTTGGATGGGGCATTCAATGTGGGATCTTTATGTGGCATGAAAGAACGTGAAGGGAATGTGCCAGCAGCAATAGCACCTTGTTTTCGTTTTCCTCCTTCAGTGGTCTGATCAGGGATGTAACAGAAATCAACCATAAATTTCTATAGATGAGGATTTGCAAAATGGTGAGAGTTGCAGGATGGGTGGTAGCATTTAATGATGTCTGCTAGACTACACCTTTCTTTGGTCAAGTCTCAAAAAGATATATTCAAAAGAAGAGTACATTTCCAAAAATGATGTATCAAAGGGAACATTTTTCTTTAGAAACAGCACCAGAGAAATTTACATTTTAAAAGTCTCATCAAAGACACTTACATAAAAAAGCACGTTGGAGAAATGTGTATAAAAAACTCTGAGCATTTATGCTAGAGACTAAGACGTTAGGAAAAGTCATACAGTATACAAAAACGATAGATTAAGGGGAATTAAAAATAAAGAGTTTTTAATGTTTTAAAAAGAGCCAATATCTTCTTTAAAATGTTGCATGATAAAATTAGAAGACTGTCCTACTAACTCAGATAGTAAAATGGGCAATATATAGGCTGCATGTATCAACACGTCGTTTCTTACATGCATAATCAACATCACATCACCACTTCTTGATATCCCCTGCAAGACTTTTCTTGAAAGGAATAGTTAGGCATCTTCAAGTGAACAAATGCCTGACACTCTGTATAGAACTGCAACTCCCAAAATTCTTAGGATGGATGACTATGAAACAGGGTTACATGTCAATAGACAGACAGACAGACACCCACACCCCACGTGACTACCTATAGCTGGATGGGGCAGATGTCAGATTTATTTCTTTTCAGCAGAACTCTGAAATCCAGAGGCTGGTGCAAAGGTATTTTTAAAAGCTGTTGAATGCCAGAGCTGTACTACGATTTTGATTCCTTCAATTTATAATATTCATCTCCTTTCTTTTCAACAGCATATTTTAGGGTGGGATAGACTTAGTTCCTGCTGTTAGATAAACAGAAGTTTATCATAGAAATCATTGCTGATTGACTGCAAATCATTTCAGGCTTGACCAACAATCTTAATGTTCCTTCTGCCCATGATATGGTCAACATCTATCTTATTTGGAAAGAATTACTTACTGGAATCTCAACTGCCCATAGCTCCCCTCCAAGCTTACAGATGATCTGCATAGCAATTTTTGTAGCCACACTCATCATCACTCCTTGTTTAGTCAATGTGCGGGCAAGTACACACTGGCTAGGAACAGGGTGCTGAAGACTCAAGAACTTCTTCACAGCATCATAACAGTCCTTCTTATTTGAAGACAATATACATAATACCTAGAAACAGAAACAAGATAAGCACAACCATTCAAGGAAGGAAGACTTATCCCTACTCATTTGTGCGGATAACCGCTCCCTACAATGATGTCTTTTCAGCCATCACAGACATGCTATCAAGTTTTTTTTAGTATGTTGTGCGTAATGTGTAGTTCGTCCATAAGATTACTTTCCAAAAGATCTGAAGATGTTTCTGCCAAACTAGCAAGTCATTGAACATTTTTAATCTCCTAATCACAAACTATGAAGAAAGAGGGAGGAAAATCCTCTAAGGATATAAACCAAGAAATCATATAACATAGTTCCTGGTGTGTGATACCCAGGGATCCAACTTTCTGTAGATGTCTCCCTTTATACCTACTAGGCTCTTGTACTATCTAACCTTTAAATTTTTTAGATTACATGAAATTTTAAAAAATGCAAATATGTTGTGAAGGAAAGCATTAGTTTCCAACATCATTATGTATAATAATGTCTCTGGACTCCATGTAGGCCCAAAGACATCCTTTGAATAATAAAAAGAGTGGACGGCCGCAACTCGGATTTTAAATGGAAGTGATTGCCATAGGAAAAAAACATACACACACAAATGTAAACTGGGCAGAGGCAGCAGAGAACATCTGGGCAGGGGAAGGAAAATATGGTGGCAGGAAGCAACCTCACCAGTTTGCCTTCTGATATGCATGTTTTGTGACTGGCCATGCTTGTCAGGACAGCCTTTTTCTAAGAGATCTGAGACAGACTGCTTTCAAAATTTCCAATCAGCCCATCACTCCAAATATAAGTGGGTTCATGGCCTACACTACCTCTTCCAACTCTTTGATTCTATTCCTTTAGACTTCAGCATATTCTAACAAGTTATTACCAAGTATTCTGGAAATAAAAGCAGCTACCATATCAGGATACAGGGACAGCTGCTGACACACAATATTTAATCATAACCATGCAAAATCTACGTTTGTAACCTGGCCAATTCTTCTGGAAAGACCAGCCTTCAAGAATTTCCTCCCAGCGACCTCGATGATGTGTCTTTTTCTCCACCAAATACATTTGAAGAGCAGTTCTTATCAATTCTGCAAACATACCAGCTGTAGCTCAGGAGTCACATGCTGTTGTAGGACTTTCACCAATGGCAGAGGGCCCTCTTCTATTTGCACGCTGCAGACCAAAATGAGAATGTATTAGAAAACATTATCCTGCTAACATCTTATGCAGCAGGGTGAAGCATATTTCCCAAGGATATGATGCCCAATGTAGGATAAAGTTCATCACCATCCCAGCCGTATAATCAACACCTCTGCAGGTTATTAGTATACAGAATTTACTTTCCTGCGAGGGAAAGATGGTCTATAGTGATGTAATTCATAGAAACAGAACACATACATGGGACCAACTAAATTGTCATAAAGTGGAATGAGGGTTTTGCATTAAGATGTACAGCCTGGCTTCCAAAGCAATGTGATTTTCAGTAGTACTGATGACGCGACAGCTGGGCCAAGGATCATGTCATCTGTGAAGAGATATACTGTACCTGTTATTCTGGGTCTGACTTGCATGCTTTGGATGTACTGAAAGAATTACAAGCAATGCTGAAAATTTCAGCTGCTGCAACATGCAGCAGCCGAGGAGCACCTCTAAAGCATAGTAATCTTTCTTGATATCCATACTACAGATTTAAAGGTAAGGGATTTCTGTACTTACGCTTAATATTTTTACAAATACATTACCTAGGACAGGATGATACAAAGGAGCACTTTTTCTACTACTTTAAAACATGTAACTCGGCATGTTATAAGAGGAGAGCTTTTTCAGTGGTGGCACCTCATTTATGGTACTCCCTCCCTAGAAAGGCTCGGCTGACATCCACATTAGCAACACTTCAGTGCCATGTGAAGACTTTTTTACTTTCTCAGGCTTTTTAATTGACTTTTAATTATATTTCTTTCTGAAAGGATGCTGTGCTGCTACCTAGTTTATATCATATTTTTATTTATTTATCCATCCAATTCATATGGCCGCCCATCTCAACAAGTAACTCTGAGTGGCGAACAGAATTAAAATGAAAACAATTAGACATTACAAAAGTTAAAGAACACAGCAGCCAAGTAACCGTTTTGTATTTTATTTGATTTTATCTATATGTTTTTACTCAGATTGTATTTTTAGGGTGTTTTATTGTGAACCAACCAGAAATCTTCAGCTATGCAGGGAGGGGGGGTTAAAAGGAGAGAGAGTACAAGGGACTAAAACTACTGTATTCAGTTTAACTTACTTTTGAAGTAACACGCTTAAGATCATGTTAAGTTTACAAATGTCAGCCTAAAACATCTGCCTTTGGTGGTCGGTCATGAATTTCACCACTAGATGCAAATTCTCGATGAAGCCAGTTGTGGCTGGTCATTGTGTATTTAACTCAAATCATCATGTATTTAACTCAAATTTTGCTACAAAGGGCTCCATTCATTCTTAACTATGGATCATCTAATCCAGGCATTCTTAACCCGGGGACTACCTGTGACTAACTGATCTCTGTGCCAACTTTCCTGGCCCCAACAAAGAGTCTTCCAAGAATCAGAGGAGACCTAGGCATGACTCCCCTCACTCAATTGGTACAGCTGGCCCAAGCTATGATAGTTATGCAAGATGGCAGCTGGGACCCACAAAAGTGGTGGGGGTTCAATAATGTAGTTGCGACTGCCATCTTGACTTTAAGGAGGGCCCCCCTTCCTGCAGACCCTTCGCTCATGTTATGCCAGTGCAGCCACTGGGGTCTTAACTCATGTGGTGTTGGCCTCGTGGGGTAAACCAGATAGGAATCACAACCAGATGAGCAAATTCTACTTTATTGTAAAGCTACACTGACAGAATCTTGCAAGCATGAAAGTACAATTCTCTCCCCACAATCTCCTTTACAGCTTGAGAAACTAGGGAGGGTCTCTTCTAAGCCTCTTGCCCTAATCTAGCTGCAGGCTATGCTGTCCCTTATCTGACTGTTCCCTTGGCAGCATCTCTTCGCTCAGTCTCCCAAGGTCTTTCCCACATACCATTACATGTGGCTAGCTAAATGTGGTGGGTCATCTCTGTCATTATGGAACAACAAAGCCAGGCCTCTATATCCAGTGTACAGCTGAAAGAGAGCAATCAAACAATCTGCTCCCCAGAAAGTTTACCAAAATGTCTACCTTACTGACATTTAGAAGCAGAAGTTTAACATGCTTGATATGGACACATTAAAAAGATTAATTAAGAGGTCTTGAGGAATGAAGAATCCAATATAGCTCACATTCTGGGATATTCAATACGAAAATTCATGGGACTTCCTACTCTTCTCAAACAGTTCACAAAATTATTGGCCAACTCCATGTATCTGTAACTACATAGCACTAGCCAGGTCTCCAGAGGGGTCACGCTAATTATCTTCATATCGCGCAAATCTCTGAACCAGTCCCCAGGGTTCGCTGGCAAACACTATCAGAAGAACAAAGAGACACAAGACATTAGTAATTGAAGAAAGACTCTCAAAAGAATGGAAGTTTTAAATGCCATTTCAATTGTCTGGCTTTATATTGTGCTTTTTGTCCATTTTTCAAACATAAGGGAGGGAAGTACGTTCTGGGAATAATATCACATGATCACAAAAATAACATTCTGGAAACTTTACTCAAAGAATGACAGCTACTCACAGAGAGATATAGGGCTTTTATTACAGTAATAGGTCTTCAACAAGAAAAATAGAGAAAAAGTATTCTGGCATAAATTACACCACCTTAACAGCTGAGCCTTATTCTATCTCACTAACAAAGCCAGACCCCTTCATGGATCACTGCCTTGTCGTGGCGAAGGGGCTTGCGTAACTCAGTGAA